TTATTAGCATAGTTTATATCTTAGTATCTAATCAATATTTTCTTACATGTCTTTCTTAGTAATCTAATGTATTTTTTTTTTTTTTTTTGTCTTTCTTAAATACAATAGGATTTAGGTTTTTAGGCGATTGTAGAAGCTTGCCTAATAACGTGGCACGTGATTTTCCATTTGAAGTGAATTGAAACTACCTACCATGTGTGTATGCACCCACAAGATTTATGGGGGTAATTGCCAAAATGAGAGTTCACACTATTTGCTATTTATTATCAAGGTATTATAGTACTGTTTATACAGCTATTACCTATAATATTTCAATACTGTTTGGATTGACATGTGATAAAAAGAAAAATAAAAAAAAAGAGAGAGAGATGACGAAGAAGCAGCTGTTTTTCTCCTTTGATTCAACCATCACAAACCCGTTGAAGTTGAACCCACGTCCTCTTATATATTTGGTCGAATTGAATTGTAAAATAAAAAAAAAAAATCCTCGAAGTTTCAATAGACAAATGGTAATTAATAAAGAATAAAGGCTTTAAACGATCGATTTTTTTTTTTTTTTTTAGTTAAGAAAAATAAAATTTTCATTCATCGAACATTAATTAATATCGCTATCGTTAATTCTAATGAATGCCCTTCCATGGTAGCCAAGTACTAGATAGAAATTTCATAATATCTATATTAAAACGTGAAATAACATAATAAATATATTAATGATGGAGGCATAAAAATACATTATGTCTGATGGTAATCCTCATTTTCAATAGGTAGCAGCCTTTTTTTTTTTTTGGTAGAAACATGTGGCAATTTTCCCCCCTCAAGAGTAAGTACTCATGAAAAGAAAAAAAAAAGGTGGTCATACTTAAGAATCCGTTTGATTCGCTAATTCGAGTTGAGATATAATTTTATATTATAACTTTTTTATTGTAGTAAAAAAGTTAGATGTAACTGTTTCTGAGAACTTTTTACTGTAACAAAACTCAAATTTTAAACTCGAATCAGTGAAATAAACAGAACCTAAATATTTCTCACCCATTTCATGATCAGTATTTCTTATTCTTTTGTTTTTTTAGTAAATGAATTCATCTCTATTAGACAGACAGACTATTTGTAATATTTAATTATTAATTATTAATTGTCTCAAACAAAATTGGATTATGGGACTCCACTAGACCACTAGGATGCATGGGAGTTGGATACGCCGGCTTTCAGGTGACGTGGCGTTCCAAATAAGAATCCTACAGGCTACATCCATATTGCATGGCTTGGTTCGATGGGAGTTGTTGGCTGCTCACCCTTTTTTTTATTATTATTGTTATTTTGTACCCCCGTTTTAATATTATTTTATGAATTACTTTCCTTTTTCTAATTTTTTTCAATTTTTATTTTTTGTAAAATTATTTTCACCCTTTTAATTATTTTCAATTTCTTTTTTGTGATTTCTCCATCATTCTTTCCGGTCTCTGTAACACAAACAACAACTTCCTTCTGTATATTTTTTTTTAAAAAAAGAACAAAAGTAAAAAAATCTGAAAATTTGTTTTTCTCCTAAAATTTGAATATTTTTCTTTTATAGTGCACATTAATCAAAAAGGGTAAATCCTCCGTATTTTATAGTCAAATCAGTGATTTAAATGATGATGAATTTTTTATCACATGGATTTTCCAATTATTTTAATATTTACAACATATTTACTGTCTTTTATAGTTTTATTCATAAAAGTTTAAAATGAAAATAAAAATAAATAACTTCCATTCCGTCCAATAGAACACCCGCACATATTTTATTCCCCATTTTTTGCTCCTTCATGGAGCAGTTGGAGGCGGCATCTCCTCTCCTCACTGCCTGTCACATAAAAAAACTTCCTACGTCACAGTCTAACAATGCTTGATTGCCAAGTGTCAAATTCCTCTTCCATCAACAATTTCTGCCAAAAAGAACTAATAAATAGAAATTTTGGGATTTTCAAAAAAAAAAAAAAAAAAATTTGGGAAACTGTTGTGTAGAAGTACACGAAAAGCGCCTCTGCAAATTTCTCGCTTCTCTATTCCTCTGTTTCTTTAACCCCCTCACACATGCCGTCGTCGTTGTCGTCGTCGACTCCATAACCAAAAACTCTCTCACTTCTCTGAAATGCTCAAACTCCTCAACCGTAATCTCCGCCTCCTCTGCTCCCGCCTCCGATGGCCGATACGCCGTCGTTCGAAGCCCAAGGTCGTCATCAGAAGGTTCGGGAAGTCGAGTTCCAAAGCCCGAAACGGAGCCGAAACCGAACCTAGGGTGCCAGCCTCGGCGGCGGTTCATCCGAACGGCCAATTCGTAGGCGCCAAGTCGGAGACGCCCCTGCGGATTGCGACGTTCAACGCTGCTCTGTTCTCCATGGCGCCGGCGGTTCCCAAGGCGGCGAGATTCGTCGAGGACACAAACGGCGACGTTTTGAAGGTCAGGAATCTGAATGTGCGATCCAAGTCTCTCAACGATCGTCCGAAGAGTATTCTGAAGCAATCTCGTTTGCATCCGAATTCGATGAGTAGTAACAACAATAATAATAATTTGGATAATCTTTCCAATCAACAGAAGTTCGCAAGATCGAAGTTGAGGGTTTCGATCAATTTGCCGGATAACGAGATTTCTCTGCTGCGGAATCGGCAATTGAGCTTCTCCGAGGACGGAAAGGAGGGTTCTTCGTCTATCAGCCGATTTCTCAGAGGAAAAGCTCCATTGAGATCGAGTGTGAGCTTTTCTGCTAATATTGGGAGTGGAACCGACGAAGATTCCTACAGAAGCACGAGGACGGTTCTGGAAGTTCTAAGAGAGTTGGACACCGACATTTTAGCTCTCCAAGATGTGAAAGCAGAAGAAGAGAAAGCCATGAAACCCTTGTCCGATTTGGCCTCTGCTCTGGGGATGAACTACGTCTTCGCCGAGAGCTGGGCTCCGGAGTATGGCAACGCCATCTTGTCCAAATGGCCGATCAAGCGGTGGAAGGTTCAGAAGATTTTCGACGACACTGATTTTAGGTAATTAATTTACAAATTTCTTCTCTTTTTCCTTTTACAGTAATGGCAAAAAGTTCAATGTTTAGTCCTTTTCTTTCTCTGTTTCGGTTACTCATTTTAGAAGGTTAATAATGGTGCTTCTTTTTATATTTTATTGGCTGTAAAGAGTTGTGCATTTCGAAGAAGCTTCTTGGTTTTTAGTGCTCAATAATTGAAATACGGTCCCAACTGTGGGGAAGCAAAAGTTGACGAAAGATTTTTACTTTTCTCGTAAAAGTCCTGAATTATTCTCATCATTATTCTGTAAAATATTGCGATAAAGCTAAAAGCAATCTTTATTGATAATCTTATTGTTATCGATGGCTACCACTTTATCCAGCTCTTTTTCATTCTGCTCTTTCTCGGATCTTTCCGTCTACATTTCTGCGTCTAAATTTTAGACCTCGTTCAGTTCAGGATTTAAATTTTTTTTAATTCGAGTTGAGACGTGATATTTTATGAGAATTATTTATTATAACAGAAAAAATTAAATGTGATATTTTCTGAGTATTTTTTACTATAAAAATTTAAAATTAAAAACTCAAATCGATGAAATGAACAAAGTCTTTTTATTTCTCGATTGTGCTTAATTTTCCTCACAATCCTGTCTGGTTAGTTTTTTACGTTGTCTTAAAAATAAAAATAAATAGTGTTCAGTATGGACCACTACCTTATAATAGCTGTATGCGTTGACGTAGAACTGTTTACATATTGTGAAGAATTTTCTATTATGGATAAATCTGGATTTATTTGGTAAAAGAAGAGGGATATAAATAACTTGAGAAATCTGAAATATTCTGTCAAATTCCTAAACGCCTAATTCTTATTCCCTGCTCTGCGTATATTTCTGTTAATATCTCTGGGGAAGTTTGCAAGTCGTTTTCTGCTCCAAATCGAGGAATTTCTTTGAGCGTTTATGGCTATAATCGGGGGAATCAGAGAAATATGTTTAATTAAGTCACTGTTCTATGTTTATACCTTTTAAGTGTTGTTTGTCATTTTATGAAATTACTTGCGATTATTGGAAACCCTGTATCGTCAATTTAATTATCTTTTGATTTCAATGTTATTTTTGTTATTTAGCAGTGAACGGAGTCCAACTTTTCAAACCCCATTTGCTGAAAATTGTCAAAAAACGGAAAAATAAATAAAATACTGCTGAACTATTACAAAACAATAGAGTATGAAATTCTGCATCGCTCTTCTATATGCAGGAATGTTCTGAAGGCCACAATAGACGTTCCCCAAGTTGGAGAAATCAACTTCCATTGCACCCACCTTGACCATCTTGATGAGAATTGGCGGATGAAGCAGATAAACGCCATAATCCAATCTAACAACGAGCCCCACATCTTAGTCGGAGGTCTCAATTCCCTTGAGGAAACGGATTACTCACAAGAAAGATGGACAGACATTGTAAAGGTTTGTTTTCTTCTCTCACAATTTCCTTTCCATTAAAAGTTAGTAATGGAACAAAGTAATTAATTACCTTGTTTTTCTTTCTTATTCCTTTTTATGGATCATGTTTTCCAGTATTACGAGGAGATGGGAAAGCCAACGCCAAAGGTCGAAGTAATGAGATATTTGAAGAGCAAACAGTACACAGATGCTAAGGACTTTGCAGGAGAATGCGAGTCTGTTGTGATGATAGCCAAAGGGCAAAGTATGAAAATAATAGTAATAATAATAATAAAGAACCATTCCTTAAGTCGTTTTTTAGTTCTAAATTATATTCCAAATTTTCCCTCTCAATAACCTGACTTGAATTTGAATATGCAGGTGTACAAGGGACATGCAAATATGGAACTCGAGTAGACTACATATTGGCTTCCCCAAACTCTCCCTACAAGTTTGTCCCCGGATCTTACTCAGTTTTTTCTTCAAAGGGGACTTCTGATCACCATATAGTCAAAGTTGATATAAGAAAAGTAGATAACACTGCTCAAGAAAACGAAACCAGAAAACGGCGCGAATCGAAACCGAAAGTTGTAAAGATAACAGGGTCTTCCCTGTCAAAGGGTATATGGACAACACATACGTGAGAGATAAGATTTTTTTAACTTATTTTGATCCTCAAGCTTAATTAGGTCTAGCGTGGTTTGTTTATGCAAGGAAGAGCATGTGGTTTTGAAGCTTCTTCCTGCTCCTACACTTCGTAAATTATCTATTGTGACCTTTACATTGTTTTAGGAAATGATTCAAATTTTTAGGATGTGTGATGACTTTTAAATTCTTCCCCACCACCCCTAGTTCTATAGTTTTTTTTTTGGG